AGGCAGGTCTAGCTTGGAGCTGGGGAAACTTCCAGCAGTTTCTCACAGAGTCCATCTCTGTAGTCGTCCCCTCCCCTGCTACCAAAGCCTTGGAGCCAGGCGAACTTCCAGCAGTTACTTACAGGCGCCATCACTGTAGCCCCTCCCCTGCTACCAAAAAAAAAAACACCAAAAAACAACCCACCACACAAAACCGCAACACTTTGGTAGGAAGTGAGATGGCTGTCTTGTAAGAAGGCAACAAACGACTGCGTAGCTCCTGAATGGTAAGGACACTATTAGCAAACTGACACTGCTTAAAAACATGCACAGAGCCCAATATTCAAACTTTGTGGAACACTGATTGTATTACACCTGAATAGATAGTTCAGTATGCTATGTTCTTAGAATATATACTTTTAGCTTGTTTCTTCCTAAAATCTTCCCCAAAGAGCCTCTAAAGAATCACAAAGCATCCCAACTAGGCAAAAAGCAGACAGAGAAGAAAATAGTTTCACGGCCCAGAATTCTATGAGAGTAACTAGGTAAGGAAGAGAGATCAAACAACCAGGAGAGGGAGGGCAGCACTAACTGGAATATAGCTATGACACTGTCAACAACTATCCTGTCTATATTAAGAAGTCAATGTTTGTACAGACATTTCAGAATGATCCAAACTACTCCTGAGCTAAGTGTGAAAACAAAGGACTGACAAAAATCACTACCAAAAAGAGAAAAGTAGCCTAAAGACACATGAATAAACATGAATAAAAAGGGGATTTTAAAGGAACTGTGTTTCAACAAAACATTTTCATTATATGAACTCAGTGCTTTTCTATCATTAATCTACCTTCTGTTACACTGTACAGTAAGATAGCTTATGTACTGTGACCCCTAAGCACACCATCCACATTCTGTTCAATTCAACTATAAAAAATAAGGTGGCTTAATAAAGTATCTGATCAAAAGACAAAGACATGAGCTCAGATACCCATATTATTTGCTCTGAAGAAACTGAGTAAGAATTTTAGAAAAGGGGCAGACTGAAGAGTATTTTCTATAAAGGGGTTCATAACTCCAAGGTCCCCTTATCACAACACAAATGGTAACAAACAAACAGTAGTTGCCAATACATTAGCAGCATAAAGAGCTTTGCACTCAATCAGAATCAAATACATGTGTCTGTACAGATGTATCTACTTCCGCTGCTCATGTAATTGCTGGTTTTTAAATACACTACTTTGTACTGTTGTGGTTTTTTTAGAGGGCTCTTTGGACAAACAGAAATATTATCTGTGCACTTCTTGATGGAAGTAGTTGCAAAAAGGAAAAAAATAAAGAGATTGCACACGGGTTAGATGTAGCTTAATTTTTAACAGAAATAAGGGTATAGTGTTTACAGTAATTATATTTTCTTATATGGGTTATTTTGTTTTATTAATTGTTTTTCTTTAGCCTAATATTCTCCAAAGTATATTTAAAGACTTTTTAAAAGGGAACTCCAGCCCATTAAACCTTTACGTAAGTCAAACATTTTTAAAACACACAAATTTGCAATTCACCAACTCCACTTTTTACCTATTTATGTATCAAAAGTAGAGTATAACTAAAAATCCATGTACACGTGACAAAAGAGCACTAGGAATAAAAGAAGAAAATAAAAAACCCAGAGAATTACTTAGTTAAAACAACCATTCTGTAACTTAAAGGCAAAAAAAACTCAACAAGCCAAACCAAAACAACCTAGCTCATACTAAACACAGGCGAAGTTTCTGCTGTTACGTAAAATACATATATATTTTGATTACTTAGCATTTCAAGGTTATCCTGTCTTAAACAGTCTTAAATAAAAAACAGCCAGTTAATGCATTGTTTAGGTTTATTGCCAATAACAATTATTCACAACACAAGAAGCTGACTAGATTAGCTTGGGGTTTTGGGGGGCAATGGTTTAGAGGGTTTGTTTTGGCAGCTGTTTGGCTGGGGGAGCGTTTTGTGGGGTTTGTTTGTTTGCTTTTTAAACAAACCACAAGGAAAGTAAGACCTAGGTACTATAATCATACTGAGTGCTACATAAGTGCTGCTCAGGAATCTTTAAATCAATCCATTAACACACTGTACAGTGTTCTCAGCAAAGATGAGTCACACAGTCCCTTGACTCGTTGCTGTATTTCATGTACTGGTGTAGGAAGGCAAGGACAGAAAGAAAGGTAGTCATCTTTAAGGTCAGAAAGTTTAGAGAGAAAGCTGCATATAAAGTATTGTTTATTAAACTTTCTTGTGATGAATAAGCTAACTTATTGCACCTGATTTAGCAGACACCTGTTTAATTTTCAAAAGTAACACTGGATTTATATTCTCCTTATGTATATAAACAAATGAAAGATGTTTCAATTCAGCAGGTTTTTTTCCTTTTTTTAACAAGTGAAAAACAGAGAAGAGAACATAGAAGATGTAAAATGAGCCAGTGTCAAAGACTTACGAGACAAAAAATAAATGCCTGAGTTAGAAAATTTCTATAGTATTCTAGATAGGTGAAGAGTTGCATCAGCCGCATTAGATATCTATTTATAGCTCAGCTACATATCAGCAAAAAGTTCTTCACATTGCATCTCCACTTCAGTAAAATACAAGGCAGAAACAAACCAAAAAATAAAAGAGTCCTGAAATTAAATTCTAATTGCTAAGTTCTGGTATCTTAAAGGCAAAAGTGTTTTTGATTATAGAAATTCACAGTAAAGTGTGAGAAAGCATCAAGACATTTTTGTTCCTATGTAGTCTAGCTGCATCCCTGCTGGACAAAAATCACATTTGACAAATTGTTCTAAAACAGCATTGTAAAGCTAATGTGGATTAAAACTGACCATTTATTTTCATACTTTTTTTTAAATGAGAACCTCAAATGATAAATTAAGATGTAGCTCATTCAGATTCATCCACCTAGTTTATGATTCTGCAAATACATGAAATGCATACGTCTAAGTATTTAATTCTTGTCCCATTGATTTAAACTCGTTCTCCCATCTACTTTAAACTAAAATAATTCTTTTATAGGAAAAGCTTTTTTCTAAACAATATCTCATCCTTTCTTTTTTCATCACCCAACATTTCAGTCCATTTCACTATGACTGTTCAACAGTAAACTATGAAGTTTCAGCAGTTACAAATTCCCTCAACAGATTCCTTTCTATTAAAGGTGTATCATGCAGAACTGCTGACACATACACACTATTACTTAGAAATAGCCTATTAACTGCTGTCCACAGCTAAATTATATAAGGCTTCATTACTTCAAATTTGTCCATGTCACCACCTCCCTCCCACATGTTTTTAATCTTCTAACAGTTGTTTTTCAAAAAACAGCAGCTTAAAAATAAATTAGGTTCAACTTTTTTGTGCCTTTTTTATAATATTAGATTTCTTCCTTGCCATATGCAGAATTCCAAATTAAGCTTGCTTTGTTTTAGCCTAGATTTATGTTTTCACTGTCAATTAACACTGTAAATTAAGTTTTAGGTTTGTGCTTCTGGCTTTTAAAATCTTCAGACCTTTGTGAACCCTTCTAGAGAAGTGACTAGTTACTTTTCACTCCTTGTGTGCCCTGGCTGTAGTATTCTATGTTGTCTTGATCTTTGCTTTTAATATCAATTTTTTTTCCCCATTTTCAATACCCTGGGTTCTATGTTGTTATTCCTTAATGGGAGTTTTTCTGAAAAACCTTCCTCCATTTTAAGTTACTGTAGCAAAATTTAAACTATCAACTACTTTCCAACTATTAATTCCACAGTTAAATGTCAAACATCTGGTAACAGTTTTCATCGATTATCTTACCAAACCTAGTACCAAAAGCCTTAAATATTTTAACCATTTTACAACATAAAAGGAATAGTGGCAGGAGGTTAATAGGAACTGACCTATTCCAGTGTAAATGTCCACCTAACTGCTGAGGGGCTTTGATGGCCGATTTTCACCCAGTGTAACTGGTTCTTTAAAAAAGGAGGATTACAGACATTACAAGTCAGCTTTAATCAGTTAAACAACTAACCTTTTGCTCTGTTTGCAGTTGGTCACATCTCTGCTTTTCATGGTTAAGTTCTTTTTCCAGTCTTTCAACTTGATCTCTGAGTTGTGCAGTTTCCTTTTCCAGAACAGAAGTTACTTTTAATAGCTCTTCTTTTTCTTTTATTATTTTTTCAATTTTAAACTGTAAAAACAAAAACATTTTTCTTTCTATTTTTTTTCCCCTTCATTCCTATCAAATAAGTAGACAACAAATTACGCCAGTGTTTAAGCAGAAGCACAAAAAAGTGTGTCCTCAGGCTAGGTTATTTTACAGTTTTCCATTTATGCACAAATTTCTGAAGTTTCATTGCTTTAACTGAATAGTACTATATTACCACTAGCCAGCATACTTTGCAGTGTCTTGATTTATACTCAAGTTTTCCCTCCTTAAGTGAGGTGCCTTCACTGTTCCCAAGTGACATCAACCATGGAGGAACTAATTATGATGAAGACAGCTTGGTAAAAAAATGGCTGCTGAATGCAGAGACACACACACACACACACACTCTAAAGCAATGTTCAAGGAATTTCACCAAAAAATAGAACACGCACATAGCCAAAAGTAAGGACTGGCACGTGAATGGTGGCCTTTCAATACTTAAAGGGGGCTTGTAAGAAAGATGGGGACAGACTTTTTAGTAGGACCTGTAGCGACAGGACAAGGGGTAATGGTTTTAAACTAAAAAGAGGGGATATAACGAAAACATTTTTTATGATGAGGGTTGTGAAACACTGGAACAAACTGCCCGGAGAAGCCGTAGATGCCCCATCCCTGGTAACATTCAAGGTCAGGCTGGGTGGGGCTCTGAGCAACCTGATCTAGTGGAAGATTGCTCTACTCACTGCACAGAAGTTGGACTAGATGATCCTTAAAAGTTCTTTCCAACCCAAACCATTTTACAATTCTATGAACCAAGATAATAAAAATGTTTGAAAAAATACTTTTATTTAACTTTAGTACTATGAGTGCATACCTCAAAGGCAAAAATATCCCAGATATATCTCTACTGTCTCTTATCCCTAAATTTTGAAAACTGTAAATCTTATACATTCATGAATATGCCTAGACACAACTAACAAATGGATAAAACATCTCATGGCAAGGTAAGGAAACTGTACTGAGCAATTATCCAATAAGCAACTCATACCATCAAGTTGGTTTGGTTTTTTTGTTTGGTTGGTTTTGTGGTTTTTTTAAAGTAGTTTTCAGCCTACAAAATATCAGCAAGCAAATGGAAGCATCTTGACTCTGGATGTAAGTATACAAGTTTAACCACATCCATCTAGCAAAGAACACGACAATAAAACAAGAGCTACTCTAACATACTTAGACACCTGCAATTACTCAGCTTAAGTTTCCAGAGCTCTTCACGTGTGCACAGATAAAAGCATACTGGTTCCTTAACTTTTTTTCCTTACAAGCACCATTTCACACAAAGGGCATCTTCCCCCCTGCAGTTAGATGGAGAGTACAGATGTGAGATGGGCAACTATCTGCTCTCTTATGGTTTCCTAGTCTATGCTTAGTGATATAACACAAAATCTTTACTCATTTAACCTGCAGGTGTTCTGAGCTCTGATCAAATACTGGAGAACAAGCCAGAAGTATATACATTACACGTACATATGTAGGTTTTTTCCTCCTGGTTTGTTTTTCAATACTATACCCTGTGGTGTATGTATATATATATAAAAAAAATAAAAATATAATATTTTAAGAATTGCTGACTCAAACCTCAAGTAGTCCAGCTTTTGTTGTCACCACTAACATATCAGAGTTTCCTTCATCTTCCATAGTGAGCAATTCTTCAACAGGGGAAGAGGTACGAAACTGGAAAGGTGTGCTTGCTCCACGGATTTCTCCTTTATGAGTCACGTAACAGAACTGGTAAAATTCTCCATCATCATTTGGTAGATAATATCCTATCAAAATAAATTCATATTTGAAGAAAAATTCTACAAAAATATACAAGTATCAATCTGGAAACAGACTATCAGACCATGTTTGACTTGGGAATTTCATGCTTATTACCTCAGTAAGACACAGATCTTCAAAGCAGCAGAAAGGAAAACTCATCATATTTAGTAACTTTTGTCCCCCAACAATTTCTCCTAGCTTTTAAGACAAATGCCAAAACAGTATCAGGTAATAGGCCCTATATGCACACATCACCTTAGATCTATTAGGTAACAGCTGCCATTTACATATTTATGAAACAGACAGAATGATTAGCAATGAGATGCCCTGAAGATGGATCAGGACCACAGTATTATGTGATTGTTGTACAATCACAGAACAAAAAGTAAGCAATTTTTTGGCATTGGAATAACTATACAACCAAAGGCAACAGACAAAGACAGAATAACATGCAATAACAAGACATTTGCTACTTTACCAAGCTCAATTTTTTGCATGTTTTTTGAATTTATTTTTGCTATTTTTATATGCCAAGGCACAGCAACACTCTGAATGCATGACACAATGCTAACAAGGTGTAAGTATGGAGGGGGCAGGGAGGAGTTTAAAAAAGAGCTTATTTTTCAAAATCGAAAAAAAATTATTCTAGACTTTGCAAGGTAAGAACAAATAATCTTTCTTGCAGCTATGTAATACTGCATGCTGCTAGCACATTATTTTAGAGGAATTTCTGTGTGACTATTCAACTGAACTGTTGCCCACTAAAACTTCACACCAAGCCTCTTACATCACCTGGATTCACAGGCTAATATTTGTGGATGTTAAACAATCATTTCCAGAACTAAGGAGAATTTTGCTAGTAAATGCAAGAAAGCATGCCTTACCCAGTTTAATGGTAAGAAAAACAATGGGTTTTATTCAGAACACTTAATTATCACATATCCTACCTAGCTTGAGTATGATACTAGCATGATTGTTATGGCTTTGACCCTGGCTAGCAGAACACCACAACAACCGCTCACTCACCCTCCCCCTCTTGGGATTGGAGTAGAGAACTAAAGGGATAAAGGGTTGAGATAAGAAAAAATTAATAATTAAA